CCATTGGGATTGCTTTCTTTTGAATGCGAGCGTCCCTACGTGCTTTTGACTTTTCCTGGGATCGCTTGAGATCTTTCCGAGTCGGTTCGAAACCAAGTCCGAAAGTGTCTAACTTAGGGAGGCCAGGTGACTCCAGCGGTTTTGCTATTCCTTTCTTCTTTCCTAGGGTCATCCCAGGAAAATGTCCTTGTTTCTTCAGCATAGCATTGACAATCATGTTGGAATGGGGATCATGGCAAATAGGGGTCCTTTCATCCTCCTGGATTAAGAAGACTTCTTCATTAAAGCCCCATAAATCTTCATCGTCCTCATCGTGCTCCACATTAATGATCGGATTCTCTATAGATTTGATCCTCATAGGCGAAGCATCGATGGTGATTGGAATTCCTCCAACTATAGCTTTTACTTGTTGGTGGAGAGATGAAGGGACGACCTTTAGATCATGAAGCCAAGGGCGTCCCAACAACAAGTTGAACGAAGCTTTAATAACTACTCTTGGAAAGTAGTAGCATGTTCTATTGCTCCTGCAGTTACATTTAGGGTAATCTTGCCAAGAGCTTGACGACGAGTGTTGTCGTAGGCCCTTATTCCTTGTGTAGACGGAGTTAAATATTCGTCCCTTATGCCGAGCATCCTCGCAGTTCTAAGTGGACAGACGTTGATGGTCGATCCATTATCTACAAGAGTCATAGGAACATTCATCCTCTTGCAAACTACTGTGAGGTTTAATGCCTTGTAATGTTTGTCACCTTCTGGGGGTAAATATTTGTCAGAAAAAGTGATCAAATTAATCGGACTGGGAAGGTCACTTGTGAGGAAGTTGTCTAATCCCTCAGGAGTAGTGTCAGAATCTATCCCAATTTTGTCCAAGGCATTCATTACAGCAAACCTATGTTCTCGAGATGTTGCCAGAAGTTTCCATATATTCATCTCAAATTTTGTCTTCTTAAACTGTTTAACAATATCGTTGTCTTCAATGATAGGTATGGGAACTTGTTGTGTGATTGGCATAGGTTGTGTTGAAACGGGAGGTTGCATTCTCCCGGATCTTGTGAGGACGTCTATCGATGAGTCTTCTTCAACCCAAATGTCATCTGTGGTATATGACACAGAAGGTGAAGTTCCTACTATGTCCGTTAGATAGACATCTTCTTCATCACTGTCCCACACTCCATTAATGGTTGCATCCTCTTCTTGTTGAACTTGGACTAGTTTCTTTTCATCAATCATTTTCTGAACCAAATCCTTGAATTTGAAACAGTTTTCTATAGTGTGACCCCCTGATTGATGATACTGACAGTAATATCTATCTGTTCTTTTCAACGATTCGAATGGTCTCGGTTCGAGAGGTTTGATCTCGCCACTCTCGGAGAGCATTTTGAACATTTGTGCATATGGGATCCCAATTTAAGTGTAGATTATATTGCTCTTCTTAGGTTTTTCAGTGACTTGTAAGGGAAAATGCTTTACCTCATAAGTCGTTCTCACTGGTGTGAATTCTCTTTTAGGTTCATCTTTCGGAAGTGAAACCTCATCACATTTCTTTCGGAATTCCTTTATAGCCTTGAGAGCTTCATGTAGTAGATGTGATACCTCCATCATAGACAGTGTGAGCAATTGTATATCTTCCTTACTTGCCAGTTCTAGAAGGTTATCCTTGACATCAAAAAAGATTTCCTCTTCCTTTTCTATGGCACGGCTTTCTTTGGCAGGTCTAATGAGAGATGAGGGGTCAACCTCGTTTTCCTCATCAGAAATAGCCAGGGTATGAGCGAGAAGTGCATTGTCAATGCTTGGCTTCTTACTGACAGGGGGCAACGACAGCTTGTTGTTATCGATTAAGTCTTGGATAGCTTCCTTAAGCTTCCAACAGTTTTCGGTGAGATGGCCCCTACCTTAGTGATACTTTCAGTGTGCATTGGGGTTCCAATTAGCCGTCCTCTTCTCGATTGGTGGGTCCCCAAATGGTCCAATAGGAGTTATAAGACCTTTTGCATTTAATCGATCAAATGCAATGTCATAACTCATGCCACATTCCAGCCATTGTTGGAGTTACTATTGGCAGCTTTTAACTTAGCCAAGTCGTCTTCAATATTGATCCCAATATCATAAACGGCCTTGAAGGTATGGAGATTTTTTTGATATTTGAGATGCTTGGAATATTTTTCTTGAAGATTTTTGATGAACAACCTCACAGACTCTTTTTCACTTGGCACCTCAATCATCTTAGCTGAGGTTTCCCTCCATTTGTTAAAGAAAGAGGTGAAGCCTTCATTCTCTTTCTGCTTGAGGATCTCAAGTTCCTTATGGTCAGTCTCGACTTGAATGTTGCACTTGTACCTATCAACGAAAGCGTTTGCAATGGACTCCCAGGTAGAGTTCTTTTCTTTCTCGAGAGAAAAGAACCATTGTTGGAAAACGGTCTCGAGAGATAGTGAGAACAGAGAAGGGAAAACCTTCTTATCAATACCCTTAATACTCATTATTGTTTCGAATGCTCTTAAATGAAAGTAAGGGTTGTCAATTGCTCTGAATCTTAGGATGTCGTTGGCATTGAACTTCTGCGGAAGAAGATCTTTAGTCCACCGAGACCCTTGTGATGTAAGTTCTTGAAATTTGTAGTCGCTAGACAACTTGCTTAGGCTCTCTTGCATGAGGTCCATCTATTGTTGCTTCACGGGATCATCGATCTTGAGTGCGAGAAGCTTCAGTGTCTTAGTCACGGTAGCCAGTTGGTTCTTAAGATCATTGACTTCTTCTTGTGTTGCCATTATAGTCTTAGCTTTCCTCATACGAGCTATGGGTTTGTCAAAAAGTTGGACTTGTACGAAAAGGTTGTCTTTGATTAACCGTCCTTCCTTTCTTGACCATGCGCTGTAAATTAAACCATTTTGCGTTTTAATTACTTGACTCGAATCAACTTGACTTTACGGTTTATTTTAAGAAGGAAAAGAAGAAAAAGGGTGCATATTTTTAGGGAACTAACTATAGTTTTTTTTTTTAATATTATTGGAGGATTAATATCCGACTTACCCCCTTAAAAAAAATGACGGAAAGAAACGCGCACACTAGACTCTCTTAAACATGGTCAAAGTATGTGTATTGGTGTGTGCGTTGAGTGTAAGTGACATGCTTGAACTCTTGTGTAAGACCATGGGACTTAGTGCCTAAACTCGATCATCAACTCAAATAAGTAATATTAACAGCAAAACTTAACCGAATTAGTTAGCAAACTGATTAATTAGACCCTAGATGATGACTCGACCAATAATCCGAACTGTCGGCCAAACGACAGGACTGGCATTGCACTGTGGAGCTTGGCGCCAAACGACAGAGCTGTCGTCAGGCGCTACACTTCATAGTGTGGCGCTACAGCTCAGACCTTGGTGCCAATAATGGAGCTTCGATCTAGGACTGTTTTCGATTGTTATTAGTCAATTGGGGTATGCCTAAAGTCGTACTAGGTCAATTCCGATTAAAAAAAAATTAGACTTTATTGACTCAAATTAATTAATTAGGCAAATTTCTTTAAGTCATTAATTTATTTAGTCTCAACACAAGTCAAACAAACAGTTAAGAGAAACATAGAATATATATGCGTAACAAATAATGCACAATTAGTCAAGTAGGCACAATATGATGCAATGCGTTTGCAACCTAACCATGGCTCTAGTTCTCTAAAGTTCGGGATATGGTTTAGTCGATAGAGGGTCCATGGTTAATTGTCCGGATGCACCGCGCGAAAGCCTAACCATGAAGGGTTGGCGCGAGTGGATGGGACACCGCGAGTTTTAGAAAAACTCGCTTCCATGGTTTGGTGAATTCAACATCTCAGATGTACCCTTTGTTGCACGGAGCGTTCAATCGGGTAGATGGAGCATGAATTCCCAGGGGGTTATTGCCATATGTATAACACATATGGTTTCAGAAAAGTGAGAAAAAATTCAATCAGGAAGTAGGATCGAGCAAACAATACGAAAAACCGGTCGAAATTAGAATGCATATTTCTGGCTCGGTATTGGGGGAAATTGGCGCTAGCAAACAGAGACTGGCGCCAGCTTTTAACTGTAGCGCCTGGCGCCAATATTGGCGTCTGGCGCTATGACTAAAATGCTGGCGCCAAGCTCTGGCCCCTAACGCTACTTCCCACATGCCTCAGCAGCTTTCTGTGCTCGATAAAATTTTCCAGTTTCGCGCGGTGTTATTTCAGTCCTAGTTGTGAAAGATATTTCTCAAATTTCCTACGTGTAAAATCCTATGTTTTTAACTCATTACGGATGGTCTTTCCAATGAGATCTTTTTTATACATATGACAATAATGTTAATCAATATTACGCACATGAAATACTTAGAACGTTTCGAGTCTCATCCACTCATTCTAAATCATTGCCGAAACAAATTCAGGAATTAAAATAGAAATCCTCCCCAGTGGAGTCGCCAAAAAACTGTAGGGAATAATTTTCAAGCATTAACCCCATGCTTGAACTCCACTATGATCATACACTAAAGTACGGTGGCGTCCAAAAGGGAAGAAGATAGAGCAAAAGAGTCGCCAACAAGTTTTAGGAACTTGTAAACCGTTCACGAGGTGAAGGTTACATCGATATCCCTTAACGATCCAAGAGATCGTCAACTCCATAAGGTCTAGAACCAAATAAGGGTTCGGGGATGAAGGTACAAATCCAACCTAAAAGAGATTGAACCTGCCCTAATAATAGGCCTCTCACTAGTGGAAAAAATCTTATTTGTAACAAGCTATTCGTAACGGATGTATGATTTTCCGTTACAATTAAGTCATTCGTAACGGGCAAATTCAATGTCCGTTACAAAAAGTTGTGAAATGGGCAGGAAAAGGGTTATTCGTAACAGACAAATTGGTGCCCGTTACGAAAAAGTTGTTATTCGTAACAGACATATTGGTGCCCGTTACGAATAAGTTGTTATTTGTAACAGGCATTATTCTGCCCGTTACGATTAAGTAACTAATCGTAACCAACAAATATTGCCCGTTAGAAATAGAAAAGTCAACAGAATTTTGACCTTGTTATTTGTAACTAACATAGGGTGTCCGTTACGAATAAAGTAAGCCCTAAATTTTCACTTTCCCCTTTCTCACTCCCTCTGTCAAAAAAATTCCTCTTTCTCTCTCCAATATTGAAGCAGCTCCCGCGCGTTTTGCTCCTCTCATTCTCACTCTTCTCCTCCATTGAAGCGCACTTTGATTTCTCCATTATTGAAGCGCACTCCGAGTTCTCCATTATTGAAGCGCACTCCGAGTTCTCCATTGAAGCACACTCCGAGTTCTCCATTATTGAAGCGCACTCCGAGTTCTCCATTGAAGCGCACTCTGAGTTCTCCATTGAAGCGCACTCCGAGTTCTCCATTGAAGCGCACTCCGAGTTCTCCATTGAATGAAGCGCACTCCGAGTTCTCCATTAACGAAGCGCACTCCGAGTTCTCCATTGAAGCGCTGTATGAGTTCTCCATTGAAGCGCTGTCTGAGTTCTCCATTGAAGCGCTCATAGTTCTCCATTAAAGCGTACTCTTTCTCTGTCCTCCCCCAATTTCGTAACCCTTGTTTCAGTTTGCTTAATTGCAATTACTGAATTATAGGTTTTATTTTTTTTTTCCCCAAATTAATTGATTGATTTTACTATTTTCCATTTGTTTTGGGTTTTATTATGTTTTAGTTTAAAAGCCTTTGAATTTTGAGCTAAGTATGAATTATGTTTTTGTCTGACTTGTTTTTGGAGAAAGTTACCTGTTATCTGAGAATATATGCTGTAATGCTACATTTTCTATGATAAATTCAGTTTATATGAAAAATTATATAGTGGAAATTGCAACCAAGTCAAGGATGAGGCTGCCTACTATATTGATTCAACAATTATTGAGGTGCACAAGTGGAAAGGAAGTTTTGAAAAAAAATAAATAATAATAAAAGATATTTCCTTCAATGGTGTGCTTATTAGATCATATTTCTCTGTAACTGTAATGAGGCTGTGTGGATTATTAGATATATAAAAAATATTGGGGAATAATGCCAGCCTTTGTAGTGCTTATGAGTATGTGTGTGTTTTTACAGGAAGGAACTTATGTGTTTGAACTAATTGTTACTTGGATCAATATGTTGCATCTTTAGGATTTCGGAATTGAATTGACATTGCTTAGACATATCGTGATGGAAACACTTTTATTGCATTATGTGACTGCAAGACCTTGTTTTGTACAATCATAGAGTTGGCAAAAAATCGCTTTATTGAGCTAGGTGCTGAGCTATGGCATTGTTGTCACCAATTTTTCCCTTGTGTTTTATCCTCAAATTAAAATGGTGTTAAGTTGCTGAAATATCTGTGTTTGCTTCTTGCCGACTAACTGTTATGTCTTATATAGCACTTTGTGCATTCCTGCCCTTTCCTACTGAGATAGTACAGCTTCCATAAGATAGCACAGGGCGTGCCAACTTTCCATGATAGCCTGTACACATTATCTTGTTTGTATCAGAACGCCCAATTAGCAAAATAGTTTGCCTTTTTCTGTTGAGATAGTGGTGATAGGAAATTTTGTGCCCTATTGTAACATTTTATGATTGCTACATTCTGCTGTTTCTTGTGTAATCACTCTCTGGATGTGCGAGAAGCATGAAATTGGTTTAGGACCTCCATTTTCTATCATGATGAAATTAGTGTTCTTTTTGGTTATTGATTGTGTTTATGTTTGTTGATGTTCAGGTTTCATCATATCTGGTTACCGTAATTCCCAGCAATAATAAGCATCGCCAATTGATTATGACATAAGTTTTCATTCGTGGTATAAATTTGACATTTCTACAACACAAGGGCTCTTTTCAATTGCTTGGTTTAGTTTGGTTAGAAAGGAAAATCAGCAGGGAAGGATTTCAAAATTTTTAATCATATTGAGAAAAAGGTATCCTTTTCTCATGAAACTATCTCACTATATAGTTTATCAATAAGGTTAATCCTTTAAAATGAGTAAAAAAACCAATCACAATACGATGAAAAGGTATTTGTATTATCAACATAAAAATTATCTCATGTCTTACATTATAATGTTAGTTGTTCAATTTAATGTTACTCTAAAATTGATTAAAAGTTACCCAATAATTATTTGATATGATATACATACATTAATATCGTTAAACATCCGAGAGTGAGGGGTAGCTCAAGTTGATAGAACTTCCCTCTCTATATATATGTATTATTATATGTATTCTTAAACATCCTTTGAACACAAAATTTAATGGAGAAAATATTAACTCTTTTAATCACTCTAAGAGGAACAAAAGTTTAAAAGTTCATATTTCAAATAACTTTTGAATGTTATCAAAATAAAATCCTTTACAAAATTGTTATCTGACCCTAAGTTTAAAAGTCTTACTACAGTGATATTCCTGGCCATTTGTTTGGAAATGGAAACTTAGTTCTATTTAATTTGATATTTTGATTTTGGTGGGAAATGGGAGTGACTTGAATCTGATGTTTCAGGAGCAGCTCGGTCCTTAGCTCCCTCAACTCCATTAAAGAAGCTCCGTCCTCATTTCAAGATGGTGTTTTGATTCGGCTTAAATCTGACAATTTGGTATGAGTAATTAATTGTTTTGTAGCTTTTTTTTTTGTTTAATTAGTACATTGCATTGAGAGTTTCTTTCTTATGATTTTTGTTTAATTTTCTTCCAATTTTCTGCCAATTCAAATGTGTTAATATTTATTATGCTTTATATTTTCATATGCCTAGATACCCGTTCAAGATTTACTCATTAGGAGTAAATCTTGAATAGTCCCCGTTTGGGACTGTTCTTGGAATTGTATTCTCACTTAGGATGTAAATGGATGCTTGTTTTTCGGAAGTAAAGGTAATTTTGTGTTAGAATTCCCTAATGAAGGAGGCGTTGAATGTGGCTACTACATTATGAGATACATGTATGAGATTGTTACTTCTCACTTGGAGTGCAAAGGTGCCTTAGAAGAGGTTAGTAGTTATTTTTTTTTTTTTTGCAAATTTTGAAACCTTTTTAGCTCTATACGCTCCCAAGAGTAAGATAATGGTCAATTGTTATTGATTTCAATTCATAAAAACCAAAATATAAGGTAATTAAGGATGTTTAGTGTTATATTGTATTAATTTGAACCAATACATGAAATATAGGAAAGGTAGAAGGCCCTTAGGCAATTTTCAAGCCTTTTTGGCTCTATACGCTCCTAAAAGTGAGTAATTGGTCAATTCTCATTGATTTCAATTCATAGAAACCAAATATAAGGTAATTAAGGATGTTATGTGTTATATTGTGTTAATTTGAACAAATACTTGAAAGATGGGAAAGGTAGAAGTCCCTTAGACAATTTTGAAGCGTTTTTGGCTCTATAAGCTCCCAAGAGTGAGATAATGGTCAATTTTCATTGATTTCAATTCATAAAAACCAAAATATAAGGTAATTAAGGATGTTTAGTATTATATTGTGTTAATTTGAACCAATACATGAAAGATGGGAAAGGTAGAAATCCCTTAGGCAATTTTGAAGCCTTTTTGGCTCTATACGCTCCTAGAAGTGAGTAAATGGTTACTTTTCATTGATTTCAATTCATAGAAACCAAAATATAAGGTAATTAAGGATGTTTAGTATTATATTGTGTTAATTTGAACAAATACTTGAAAGATGGGAAAGGTAGAAGTCCCTTAGACAATTTTGAAGCGTTTTTGGCTCTATAAGCTCCCAAGAGTGAGATAATGGTCAATTTTCATTGATTTCAATTCATAAAAACCAAAATATAAGGTAATTAAGGATGTTTAGTATTATGTTGTGTTAATTTGAACCAATACATGAAAGATGGGAATAGTAGAAGTCCCTTAGGCAATTTTGAAGCCTTTTTGGCTCTATACGCTCCTAGAAGTGAGTAAATGGTTACTTTTCATTGATTTCAATTCATAGAAACCGAAATATAAGGTAATTAAGGATGTTTTGTATTATATTGTGTTAATTTGAACAAATATTTGAAAGATGGGAAAGGTAGAAGGCCCTTAGGCAATTTTGAAGTGTTTTGGGCTCTATACGCTCCCAAGAGTGAGATAGTGGTCAATTATCATTGATTTCAATTCATAGAAACCAAAAAATAATATAATTAAGGATGTTATGTGTTACATTGTGTTAATTTGAACCAATATTTGAAAGATGGGAAAGATAGAAGTCCTTTAGCACAATTTTGAAGCCTTTTTGGCTCTATACGCTCCCAAAAGTGAGTAAATGTTAACTTTTTATTGATTTCAACTCATAGAAATCAAAATATAAGTCAATTAAGGATGTTATGTGTTTTGTTTCTATATTATGAGTTTTATTTCTATAATTTGGTTCATCACATTTATTCTAATGATTGTTTTTATTATGGATTGTTTTTATTTTGTAACCACTTTCGTATGGTTTTTTTTTCAATAGGATTTTAGTCCAAGGACCGCCCCGTATGATGTTGACGAGTTGAATTTGGTTCGAGAACAATGGGCGCAATACTTTAGAAGTAAATATTTATTGAATGCTTAACTATTAGTTTAGGTAGAACAACGTAATATTTTTAGTGTTGAATTTATATGTTGGATAAATTTATACAAGTTTTTATTTGTATTGTGTTACTACTTCAGTTTTTATATTACGTCGTATTAATTTTTACGAAAGATTGTTCGGTATAATTGCTTTTTACAGGAACGGGTATATTATAACAGGTTTTAATTAATATATATTAATTATATATAAATACATGCTGTCGAAATTAAATAAAATGAAAATTTAATTTAATAATTATTTGTAACGGGCAGCAAAATTGTCAGTTACAAATAACCAGTTATTTGTAACGGGCACTTTTGTTGCCCGTTACAAATATAAGTGTTAAATTATATACAATAAAACTCTATTCGTAACGGACATTTAAGATGTCAGTTACAAATAATCACTTATTCGTAACGGGCGGTTTATGTGACCGTTACGAATAAGGACTTATTTTAATACAAAAAAAATTAATTCGTAACTGACATTTCAGATGTCCGTTACGAATAACTCATTATTCGTAACTAACATTTAAAATGTCCGTTACGAATAATGGGTTATTCGTAACGGACATCTGATCGTATTCATGTGCGCTTTCTAATTAACATACAATCAATAAGTTTAACCCCAAACCTGTTTATCTATGTTGTTAAATATTAATGCACAAATAAATCTATTATTGGCGATCACTTGAAATATAATCACAATTAACCCTAACAAGATTATTAATTATCTTATTAAGCGTGATTACAAGTACCAAATTCCCTTTAAACATGCATAAAAGGTGTGATCAAGCAATAAAAAACAAATATCATCAAGCAACATAATAATAATCAATCATGAATAATAATAATCATAAATAAAATAATCATCATCAAAATAATAATAATAATCATATTCATAATCATCATAAATTATAACAATTATAATCATAATCATGTTCATGTTAATATTAAAGCATAATAATAATAGCAAGATCCTAGGCATGATACTAATAAGATTAATAACAAACCCTAGCATGTCACTAAACAATAAAGATCAAATCTTTAACCCTAACATGATACTAACAATCATAAATATTAGGAAGAATATAGGAAGCATCACAACAATCATATTTAATATTAAAGTTACCTTAGACATGATACTAGGAATATCATAATAACAATGTAAACATGATTTCTACATCATAATATCAATTAATCAATTAAAGCACTTACTTTGATGCCTCGTACCTCTTTCTAATAACAAAATACACACGTTAGTAACTTCAAGGAAAATAATAATCAAAACAATTAAATTAAATAATTGAAAGAGAGATTTGGGACCAAACCCTCAGAAATTAAACCTTTCACGTCTAGAGCGAAGGCAACTTCGAATACGGCTAGGTGCTTCTAGATCTTGTGAATGCGGAATTTTGTATGAAAAAACAAGGTTTGAGAAAGAAGATGAATGAATTAAGAGAGAATTAGAGAATTAATGATTACGAATGAAAACTGATTGTAAATGAGAATTCGTGAGAATTGGTGAATGAAACGGAGTTTTTAATATGTTATTTATAGAGAAAATCAGCCAAAAAGATAAAATAAACAAAACAGAGTCTGACGCATAAAAAACAGAGCTGGCGCAAACCCTGGCTAACTGGCGCCAGACACCAACACCAGCGCCAGGCGCCAGGCCTGGTTCCAGCGCTAATGCCTGGAGTCAGGCGCCAAGCCTGGTTCCAGGCGCTAATGCCTGGAGTCAGGCGCCAAGCCTGGTTTTAACGCGCTTTCGTAAATCAGATAAGTTTGCCGTATTGGAGGATAAAATCGTATAATTTCCTCGAAAATGCTATTTGATTTTAATTAAAACTCTGAAAAGTCAACAAAAGTCAATTTATCAATGCTAATTGAATTAGGAATGAAAATAACCTTCTAGAAGAATCTAGAAGACTAAAACCATTCCTAATTGCATTAGGAATGATAAATCATATTAGGCCCTCCCCTAGATCATTGGGCCGCATATAAGGCTCAAAACGGGCCCAGTTTAGTAAATTGGCCATAACTTCCTCAATATTCATCGGAATTGGGCTTATAATATATCGTTGGAAAACACTTGACAAGCCCCATCCAACTACACTACTATTGGACCCATATCATGGACCAACCAAACTGGATTGACTGTTTTCTTAAAATAAGTTTTCAAAAACAAAGAGAAGAGAAAAGAAATTAAAACTATCTGCAACACCAGACTTTCCACACTCTCACTTCATTCGATTATGATTCGTCGTGAAAGGCGCTCATCAATGGGTTTGATTTTGGGGAGACACAAATGGGTGTCTACAGGTTTAGTCGAGATTCGAGAGATGAAATTAAATACCGGTAAATTAACTCTATGATTGTAATACGTAGCGAAAGCACTTTATGATCTGATTAATTGATGCATTGATGATTGATTGTTATGTTTTAACCTGGAATATTGTTTATTGGTGAACCTATGCCCTAGGCTTTTATTTCATTGATTTTCCTCCTACTTCCACTCCTTCTCACTTTTACTCTTTGTAGTTTAGTTCCCTTTTCTAATAACAATTTGGTTATTGATAATTTAGATTATATTATTAATTACGAATAAATTGACTTGTTTCCCTGTGGTTCGACCCTTCTTCCCTATCTACATAGTTAGTGGATTTAGGTAATACTTTTGATTAGGTGATTACAACTTTAGCCTGTCAGTTTGGGCACAAAAATTCCGGCCCGAAAATGTATAATTATGTGTTTATTTATGTATTATGCTTGTAGATCCTTATTTAGGTGTGAATGGGTATGAATTGTGAATTCTGATATATGGTACCTAAATCCCTATAATCAAGTACGATGATCAGGTATCATTATAAAAGTAACAGTTACCCGATCCGATCCAATAAGCAATTTCTTGTAGTGTTACTTTATTTCAATAATTAGTATTATTATTATTATTAATTTGGTCAACATGCATCTTGTTGTGGTGTTGTTGTTAATTAGTCTTGAATTGAATGATATCATAATACATATTATTAACTAAATTATATAATCTTAATTTTAATTATTGGATATCGATCATATCAGGTATTCGATAACCAATCTCGTACCCGAAGTTCGAGCAATCGAACTTATCGGTTCGATTTATGCATGGATATCATTTTTTTTAGGTTTTTGCCTACCTGAATCCATAGTGATATGGTGATAACGATTCGGATACCTGACTCATGCTCATCCCTAATGGAAGGGATGTGTTTTGTGGGGTGGGGGAGGGTTGGGCGAAAGGGGAGTGGGTTTCATGATGGGAGATATGCTAGAAGTGGTAAGGGGGCCGCCGGAGTTGATGCAATGATGATGTGGGGTCGGGTTGATGTAAAGGTTTATTTAATTAATTAAGGTTTCAAAACCGCTAATTATAATTTGATTAAATAATAATGTCATTAAGATTATTAGTAGGTTTATTAGGGAAAAATATAGTTGTTGTTAGAATTATATATTTTAACTTTTACTAGGGTGGCCTACGCGCGCGATGCACGCGAAGGAGTTAACTCTTGTAGAGAAATTGTATTGGCGTGTATTTACGCATTTGGTTTGGGTGTTAGACCTGCTAGTTTTAATATGCACTATTTGACTTATGTGCCTATGTGGTGACTTTGTAAAAGTATAAAAAGCCACCAAAATCTTATATGATAATTATTATTTCAAAATTATTATTAAATAATATGTAATTGATTTGCATCCTTTCGTATCTTAAATTATTGTTAGTATAGAACTCTTAATTGATTTACATGATTCAATAATATCTAGTGTGTTTTTTTGAGCTCTAGTCATACGGAGTAATAATATGTGAAATGTTCGTTTTAGCTAAAAACTTAATAATCTAAGCTCTTAATTGTTCTATGACCATCTAATATCTATATCTATATCTAATACTTAATCAATAACTACTTAGTTATATTTTTGCTCGTAAATTCTCTCCGTAATTAATACTCCATACCAGTTTTTTTTTCTCCATCGATTTCTCTTGATTTTAGGATTTTTAAGTTGTTTACACCTCTTGATAACATCAGCTTAAATATTACTATTTAATATGAATCCCATTCAAATTCCATAACGTTATTTATGTGTCATCAAACAATATACAATTCAAAAGCTAATAAATCTTAATAATAGTGTTGCAATTAAAAGACGACAAGATTATAAATAAGAAGAGTAACTACGAAGGAGTAAAAAAAACAATCTCTTCGTAAATAATTTTTTTTTTTCGTTTTGAATAATAATAATAATAATAATAATAATAATAATAATAATAATAATAACATATGAAGTATAATCTATACTAATATTTTAAAAGGCGTTACTAAGAACGTTTCTGTGCCATGTAGACCACTGCACGTCACCTACTCCATTTCTCATTATGCCACATCATCACTACTCAATCAACTAGAATATTGCTTCATATTAAAAAAATGATAATAAGGGGATTCGAACACCCAACCTTTTATAAGAAAGATAGTTACTTAACCATTTAAGTCGATCATAAGTTATGTTATAAACATGAAAATAAATGTATATAATTAATAATCACAAGGTCTAATTAAAGTAGAATCCAGTGTAACGCCCGGGCTACACACTAGTTTTTATATATATAAAAAAAGGCATTACAAGTTTTTTGTTAAAAAAAAACTTTGAATTATTTGATGAAAAAAAAATTAAATATATTAATGAGAGCAAACATATTAATGAGGGTAAAAAAGTAAATACATAATTTTGTACACATTTTTATACATATTTTTAAGGGTATATTTGGTAGCACACTATTCCTAAGAGTTATCTTCTACTTTTTATAAGGTATGGATATAGTTTTTTATGGGTAGTAATTAGGGGTGAAAGTAATTCGGATTAAAACCAAACCGAACCAAAAACAAACCGAATTAGTAATTCAGTTAGGATTTTTTTTTGAATTCGGATTGGATCGGATTTAAAAAATTAAAAAATATGGATTACGGATTGGATTCGGTTTGGGGTTTAAAAAAATCGAAAACCGAATTACAAACCGAATTTCGACCCAATACACCCAATAATTTAAGCCTATTTTCTTTTTCAAATTATCCAACCACTTTCCCCTTACATATATAAACTTACAAAAAACCTA